TCCTTTCCCACAAGCCACTTGAGGGGTCAATGCTCCCAAATAATTCCTTTTGAAGACAAAGGTCAACAGAATAAAAAGGAGGATTGCATGGTATTCTGAATTTGCATATCTGCTTCTGAAGCAGATTTTGATCTGCTTTTACATCTACTTACACAGAAGACATGGAAAGTGGAAAAAGATGGTAGAGTGGAGAGGGCAGCCAGGGGGCTGCCTGGGCTTCTCAATTTGGCCTGAGGAGGAGGAGTGAGCATTCTGCAGGGCAAGTGCTGCCTCTGAAGGCAGCAGAGCCTGAGCCGTCCTGCCAGTGCTCCACCCAGGAGAACAGAAGGTAAGAGGGGAGGAGGGTGCTCCTGGGTGGGAGCTGATAGGAAGGGGAGACCCCAGCCTTGAGGAGACCCCTCAGGATGCTCTATCACAGAGCACTCATCACACAGAGGCCATTGGAGGTCAGTGAAGACACGCCACCACCAGAGGTGAACATCAGTTAAGTAAGAACATTTTTGCAGTTTTTTCCCCCTTAATATTTTTCTTCTGCCGTAACCCTGAGTGAGTTAGAACCAAAGAAAAACTGAGAAGGGAGAGAACAGAGCAGGCCATGCCGGCCACACTAGAGCCAAGGGTCAGGCCTGAAGTGGGGAGGGCAGAGGAGAAGCGAAGGTTGGAGTTTTAATCAGGGCTGCAGAGCGGTTTGTTTAATAACTGAAAGTGGCCCAGATGTTTTTTGGGGGTCTTCTTTCCCAGATGTCTTTAAGGGAATAAGGTCCAGGGTCTCCCCAAATGACCCTTCCACACTTAAGTTTCTTTTCTTTCCTTTGGTCCTCTTTCCTCCCCGTCTTGCTCTTCCTAGAAAACATTTATTTAGTTTCAGTTAGGCAGACTTGTATTATATATTTGTATCATCTTCTAAATTTATAGTTTATGCTAGATCCTTTCATTTGTTTATAAAGCTGAAACTTTTGGAATAAAATGGTAGAAAAGACTTCTTTATTTTCTTTTTCTTGCTGTACCTCCTTCCCTGGAAGTAATGAGCAGAGAATCACTCAACTGCTTGAATGAAAGAAAGATAATGTGGTTTAAAAAGATATATTTTAAAAAGCAGGAGTTCCGGTCAAGAGGCAAAATAGATGGTTCCCAGCATCACTCTCTCCCACAAATCAACTAATTTACAGCTATAAAAATGTAACATCAGCCAAGCTGGGGCTGCTAGAGCTCAGGGGAAGAGGAGGAGAGACCTATGGAGTTCATGAAGGCGGGAGAAGCCAGGATGAGAGAAAGGAAAAGCTGCTCTGAGGGTTTCAGGCCACGGCTGCTTTAAGGCTGGAGCTGCTGAGTGCAAGGAGCAGGAGCTGGCAGAAGCCACAGCTGTGCCCTTCAGATGGAGTTACTTGGAGGCAGCAGGAGAGAAGAGGGCCTTGGTGGCCCCCAGGACAGCAAGACCACTAATAGAGTTCGCGTGGACCCACGCAGGAGCGAGGAGCCACAACAACTGAAAAAAAGGAGCCATTCAGAAGCCAGTGAGTCATTGCAAGGGACCAGAGCATGGCCCATCCCATGGGAAGTGTTTGGAGCATGGGCAGTGGGGGAGACAGGCAAACTGGGAGAACACTGGGACATGGAAAGATAGCCAACCTGTCCCACAATCAGCACAGAACCACTCAGAGGAGACTGGTCAGGAATGCAGAATTATATGGGGTGCAGTTTGATGAAAAAACTCAGGCCCAGATCAGAGTTTCTACACAACACAGATCCACTGGGTCTCTGGAGAGCCGGGATTACCTATAAGGTCAACCATTAAACCCTGAGCTGCACAAAAAGCCTTCCCTAGGGAAACAGCAGCAAAGCAGCAATTTACCTCAACTACAGAGCTCAAGTACTGATTCCCACAGGACGTTCCCCTCTTTTAGAAGTAAGCAAAGGACAAAAAATTAGAACCCAAGCTTACCACCAGAGCCTTGGGGCCTGCCTGGAACTGGAGGTTTGGAACCAGGAACTGGACCCCACTCCCACATCCAGGCACACCATACCAGTGCCTCAGTGCCACCCAGAGACCCGAGGCATTGAGATGGTGACCAGACCCCACTCCCACATCCAAGCACATCCAGTGCCTTAGGGCCCCACCCAGTGACCTGAGGCATGAAGCTGGGGAACGGAACCCCCTCCCACAACCAAGCACACCACACCAGTGCCTTGGGGTCTGCCCAGGGACCTGAGGCATGGATCCAGGGGCCAGACACACCCCACAACCAGGCACACCACCAGCACCAAGGAGCATGCCAAAAACACCACCTCCATGTAGGTGGCCCACCACACCCACCACAATAATGATGGCTGCCACAAAAGAGGCTAGATGCCACAACCACCATGCAGATGGTCCCCCAACCACTGGAGTGCATTGACACAAAGAGAGTCATCAGCAGAGATAGAGAAAAGAAGAGGTCGTCTCTCTCCACAAAACCCATTTCAGAGTGACAGAAGAAGCATCTGCTCTATGATAATACTGGGGGAACTGATCACGCCTCTCAGAATTGGACAGATCCTCTAGGCAACAAATTACCAGAGTAACCATTATTCTTTCAGGAGAGAAGAAATCTAGGGTAATTAGAGGGGAGAGGAGAGAGGGAGGGGGAGAGATGGAACAAGGGGCATAAAGAATAATTAAGATTTGTAACAATATATATGCTAGTAATATTGATTTGATCAACATATATCAATGTTGAACCCCAAAAATATGTATAATCAATTTTGATTCAGTACATAAAATAAATCTAAATAAATAAATAATATAATGTTACTCCCCTGTCTAAAAACTTCTAATAACTTCCTATTGCTCTTGGAATTTTTTTTAAAAGAATTCTATCAATAAATTAAGATCAAATCCATTTATATAACATTTTGAAATCACAAAACTATAGAGATGGACACAGAGTAGTAGTTTCCAAGGGTTAGGGATAGTAGGGAGTGGAGGGGAGAGGAGGGACTCTGTGTGATTCTGACAAGGCAGCACAAGGGATCCTTGTGGTGATGGAACTCTTTTGTATCTTGACCGTGGTGATGGATACATGAAACCACACATGTAATAACATTGTCTGGAACATAACACATTCACACATATGTACACATATGTACATGCACACACATACATATACACACATAAATGAGTACATGTAAAACTAGTGAAAGGAATGTCGAGGGTTATGACCCCCTTACCGGTCAGAAAAAAAAAAAAAAAAAAAAAAA